CGTCATGAGGCCATTGGGATGGTCCGTGGGGGAATGTCTCAACGACAAATGGCTGCACATTTCCACTGCCACCGGAACACCATTTCTGCACTGGTGAGACGCTACCAGAACACAAATGACGTCATCGATCGGCCACGTTCTGGAAGTCCACGTGTAACAACGCCAAGACAGGACAGATGGATAAGGGTGACCCATCTTCGCCACAGGTTTCAGACTGCAGTGATGACTGCCCGAACCATCCCAGGTCTTCGCCGTATCAACCCCAACACAGTTCGACAACGTTAACGTCATCACGGAATCAGACCACGACGTCCCGCCATACGCCCTATCCTGACACAACGTCATCGACAAGCTCGCCGAATGTGATGCAGATATCATGTCCGCAGACCCTTGTTATGGTGGAGAAATGTTGTTTTTACAGATGAGTCCAGGTTTAACATTTCCCATAATGATGGACGTCAACGTGCCTATAGACGCGTAAGAGAACGTTATGCACAGGCCTGTGTCTTGGAGAGGAATCGCTTTGGTGGTGGTTCCGTGATGATTTGGGGTGGAATAACAGCACGCCAAAAAACTCCTTTGGTGATTGTTCAGGGCAACTTAACTGGTGTGGGCTACAGGGATCAGATTCTTCGACCTGTGGCAATTCCTTTTCTGCAACGTCATGGCCCTGGGTTAACATTCCAACAGGACAATGCCCGCCCTCATACGGCAAGGATTGCTATGGATTTCTTGCAACACCACAACGTTGACTTACTGCCTTGGCCTGCACATTCACCGGATCTCTCCCCGATAGGGCATGTTTGGGACGAGATGGATCGACGTCTACGCCGTCTTCCTCATCCGCCAGATAACGTCCTTGACCTTGCAACAGAACTTGAGAGAATCTGGCGTGACATCCCACAAGCCTTCCTTGCACGTTTGATAGTCTCTGCTGTTCTCACTGCCGATGGTGGACGTACCCGTTATTGAGCTTGTGACATGGTCGTTTGGACCCCTGTCCCGCTTGTGGACTCATTGTCATTGTGATTGACTTTTGAATTGAAATTCTCCCAACTTGTTATGGTCTTATGATCCCTCCATTAAAGTTTATATGTACCTGTGACATTTTTATCGTACTTATCAACTGGGATCATATTTTGACAATGCACAGTTTCTTTATGTGGCTATTATATTATGAACATGTACACAAGTGAGACGGTAATAAAACATTGATTGATTGATTGATTGATTGATTGATTGATTGATTGATTCGGTTACATTTATGAAGTGTCTCCACTATTGGTTCCGTCGATGTATAAGACATTCTCCCGCTGAGAGAGTGAATGACTGCTAGACCACTCATGAAAACATGTTCTCCTCTCGAGGCTGTGATACACGGACTGAAGTAAATGAAACACACGTAAAATATTCACACGATTACGCTGTATCCAGCCGACGTACCTCAAGTTCACGCTCACGTGTTCATATATTACTTTAAACCCACCCTATATTTTTAAGGGCAGAGGTGTTACAGTGAGTGTGGGAGTGTTCAACATTAGCCGTGTAGCGAGTAATCTGTTGACGTAGTCACACAACCTGTCGGCCATGGAGTGACGCAGGTTGTCAGATGTCAGCGATCTGTATCTGACCTCACAGGAGATCAGTGATACTTGGAATGGGAGGAAAACAAACGTTGAGGTCATTCAGCATTGCCAGGTTGTTTTGTGATGACAGTATTGCAGTATAAAAACATCAATATAAAAATCAGTAATAACAGTACTAGTAGATGCTTGATTGGCATTTTAGAAGATGATATTTGATTAACATAGAGATTTTTTCTGGGTTACATCTTCTTTTTATTCTCGAGTACAACGTTTCAGGGCTTGTTCTGGCCCCATCATCAGGTAAACCTGAACAGTAACTGTTAGCTCTGGCCGTGACGTCACAATGCTTATGACGTCACAATGCTATGCGAAAACGATTTGTAGCCCTGACCTACTGCAACAAGAAACAGACCACCTGATGACAACATTCATCACATACAATGGTTATCCAAAGAACCTTGTAGAAACCACCATAAAGAAAACACTACAAGATCAAGTTCAGCCTCCTCCGAAACCTGAACCATCTCCCATCCGCATCAACATCCCGTATGTTGGGCCCATCAGCCACCAAGTCAGCAGACTCCTAAAGAAAATGGCCAGCATTGACACCACTTTCTCGTCTGGCAAAGCCCTTAAAACTTTGCAACGTGCAAATGGTAAGGGGTGCAATCACGCTATATCCAACCCTAAAGGCTGTGTGTATAAACTGAAATGTGACTGTGGTGACATCTACATTGGTGAGACAGGCAGACCAGTAGCTACACATGTGAAAGAACACAAAACTTCAGAGGACAAATCAGATCTGAAATCTGCAGTTTCCGAACACATTATGAATAATCCCGATCATGAAATTGACTGGGAAACTGAAGTCCTCGCAAAAAACATCAGTGACTGGCGGAAACGCAAGTTGATTGAAGCTATCTTCATCAAACGCACAAAACCAGCAATAAACAGGGACCAGGGTGTCTACCTCCCAAATGCATGGTACATAAAACAATAAGACAATACCCTACCCTCGTCACTGTTCCCGTGTATAAAGCATAATTTCTATGTATACACTGCTATTACTTTACATTCTATACATTTATAAATACGTCTCTGTACATTTCTAAATCAATCAACAATTTTGTATAAGTATCTGCACAGTTCTAAATTGATCCATTAATTTTGCAGTAAACGACATCTTATATATTCATAATAACATGTATTCTATTAGCTATGTCATCTGTATCTATTGACCACCACATGTATTGCGTCGTCATAGCATTGTGACGTCACGGCCAGAGTTAACAGTTACTGTTCAGTTTTACCTGATGATGGGGCCAGAACAAGCCTTGAAACGTTGTACTCGAGAATAAAAAGAAGATGTAACCCAGAAAATATCTCTATGTTCAACAGTACTAGTAGTTCATTGGAAGATGTTTTACGTTATGGGGAATATTATGACAAATAATCGTCACAGCTGACCAACATGGTGAGCGAGCTGGCTAAGGCGCCAGGCTAATGATCCAGCGAACTTGAGGTGTCGGGATCGAGCCCACCTGTGACCGGGTGTAAAAACCTTGGAAAATATCAGCGCCTTGAGCATGTACCAGTTGCGTGCATATGCTCGCTATATAAATATCCTATGTAAATATCCTATTATAATAACAACAGAGGTACCGACTACTAGCACCTGACAATTGTATGTGATAAGTGCAAACACACCATAGGCTGGTGTATGATCTTGGAAAACCACATTCTGTGTATCACTATGGTATCTGTAGCATATCGTACTCTGATTTGAACAAAACAGAAACTGAAATTATAATTGAGTAACATTTTACTTGCATGGTCACTATGTCTACGGATATCATTTGCCAGTCTCCTACTACAGTACTGGCAATCAAGCAGTGAATTCTCAAAATCGGAATTTTCCGCCATTCCTCGTGAAGTGTCGACGTCGATCCCTCCAGATTTTGAGCTTGAGGATCGGATTATCAATCACCGATCGGCTTTACATCGAGACTCCTCACGAGCCGTGATAATGTTTCCATGGATATGTTTGATGGGTGATGACTGGAGTTCTCCAGTCATCCTACAGTCGGACAACACCAGACCTCACCGTTCTCCAGTCGTCCTTCAGTCAGACAACACCAGACCTCTCCGTTCTCCAGTCGTCCTACAGTCAGACAACACCAGACCTCACCGTTCTCCAGTCGTCCTTCAGTCAGACAACACCAGACCTCACCGTTCTCCAGTCGTCCTACAGTCAAAGAACACCAGACCCCACCGTTCTCCAGTCGTCCTACAGTCAGACAAAACAAGACCTCACCGTTCTCCAGTCGTCCTACAGTCAGACAACACCAGACCTCTCCGTTCTCCAGTCGTCCTACAGTCAGACAACACCAGACCTCTCCGTTCTCCAGTCGTCCTACAGTCAGACAACACCAGACCTCACCGTTCTCTAGTCGTCCTACAGTCAGACAACACCAGACCTCACCGTTCTCCAGTCGTCCTACAGTCAGACAGCACCAGACCTCACCGTTCTCCATTTATCCTACAGTCAGACAACACCAGACCTCTCCGTTCTCTAGTCATCCTACAGTGGCTGTAGTACGACTAGAGACCGGTGTGGTATATATATATCCGTGCGGTTAATTTGCTCGAGCACTAATGATGCCACAGGGTATCCCTGCGTCATGCATACCATACTTTCTGAAAGTCTACTTTTGACCATGGCAAGAAAAGTTAATATTTTAAGTAAAGTCGTCTTTTCAATTCCACTGTAGTACACACACCGCTATCATTATATTTATACCCCTTTGTACTTGGAGTCCTGGCTTCACGGGGACATGCCACCCCTAGCTATTGAGATAGTGTGTAAAGCAAGCGCTCCCCATGTGCATTCTAATATGCTGGAGTAGCATTGCCTGTTTGCATCTAAGTTGTAAAAATTGTCCTTGGATTCACGGGTGTGTGTGTGTGTGTGTGTGTGTGTGTGTGTTGGATAAGACTTTGTTAATTCAAAGACATTCAGCATGTTGTGTTGATGGGATAGTCAATAATGACAAAAAACACATTTTCTAACAAATTACATTATATCAGTTGTTTATATTGTACAAATTAATAGCTGCCCGCATTGTATATGTGGGATTCTAAACATACATAAATATTTGAGAGGAATATGTTCAGTGGTCTCTGAGAGGAAAAGCTGACTTCACTGTGGCTTTGTGACGTGAATCAGGTGACATTATCTGGACATGAACACACGAGTATCTGGTTTGTACAGTACTTTTCCCTCAGTTAGATATCACGTTTAATGGAATGTACCTGCAGTTTACAGCCCTTATAACACACTGCCTGCTGTATGTTGTTGGGGACATGTTGTCAGGGAAACGATGCTGCGATCTCTCATTGGACGACGGCGATCTCTGATTGGACGAAAGCATACAAGCCAGTCTGTTCTCACAGCGCAAACTACCTTCAACTATGTAGCATTGAGTCAACGTCAAGGCGAACATGATCTCTGATAGTCTTTGATGCAAACTATGAGTTACGATGTGCACACTGGTTTACATGTGATATCCCCCCTGACATGTCAGTGTCCAGTCTACGTGTTTTGGGAGTGGGTGGATATTCCTGGCCGCTAGTCTAACCTCTGCTGCAGCAACATCGCGCCGCTATGTTACACTGTACCCACGTGGAGAATAGAACCCGAGTCGTCAGTTTGTACACACGTAGCCACATGCAGCAGTCCATCAACACATAGAGAACCTCCGGCGTGACATGTTCATCCTTGTGATGCCGAGTTGTTTCAAAGGAGTGTCACTCAGAGTCGATATGGGAAGGTCAAGGACATCCGACATCTCGTCAATCTCCTCGAGCTCTGACTGAACATCTTCTAACATTTCCTGATGCTCCTCACAGCTTCTGCGCAACTTCAGCTGCGCAATGTCTTGTTTGATGGTCAGGAACTGTCTCGCAAGCGTTTGATCCTGCGCGCGCATCTCCTCCTGAGACATGAAAGCGTAAATTCAAAAGGTGAGACATTCAGTAATGATGGGAGTCAGATGATCGGGCGTACATGAGAACTTTCTATTCACTGTTCCGAATAATACAGATGTCACATGACATATTTGATATGGAATATAATGGTGGTAAAAGATTGAAAAACATAATTTTGTGAGGGTGTGTCAAACGCCAGTAACAATCTAAGCAAAACAAACAACCCTGCAGATCTGGACATGCCCCTCTTTACCGTGAATCCTCTTAAATCAGAACCTCTCTGGTGCCGGAGGAAAATTTACTAAGATCTATATGACTGTAATACATAATGACAATGACAAGTTGATCAGGACATGTATAAATCCCAGTGATTTTACGTCCGGATTAGCGGGATATTCGGTGCACACAAGATTGACTCTACATAAGCGTATAAACACGGCCAACTGACCAGCTCACAAGATTGACTCTACATAAGCGTATAAACACGGCCAACTGACCAGCTCGTTACGTAGCCACTCCAGGGCGTCGTCGATTCGCTTCTTTCTGTCGTCAGTCAACTTTCCGTCGTTTTCATTTAGTAGAACTTCTTTTGGTGGAAACTTGGGTTTCTCGATGTGTTCAGCCTGCCAGGCAAGTATACTGGCTCTGCGCGTTGTCAGCTTCAGCCTCGCCGTTGTCTCTTTCAACTTCGACAAAGCTGAAGAGTGATCGACACTTCGTCGGTGATCTTCGGTAGTTTCCGTAGTATTCGCCGAATGTTCATCTCCATCAGAATCTTCCCTGATGACCGATAGATGACGCCGCTTGTCTTTGGGAGTGTAACTGCTTTCTTCTTTCCGTCCAACCATCATTGTCTCTATCACTGACCCGGGAGCGTCACTTCATTCTGAAAATACCTGAAAACATACACTGAATGGTAATGCGGACTGACAAACAGAAGGGGATAATAAAACTGACACGTTCATCATGTTGTGCTCTGTATAGAACATGAAGTCAAAGTCAAAAGATGTTTATTGTATGAAAGGCCTCCGGCCCATATACATGAGAGTTACAGTGATAAAGGAATATTTTGGATATTTACATATTTATTTAAGGGTATACAATTCGCTTTATAAGAAGATCTCTTTTAGATAATGCATGCTTCATATACAAAGACAACTGAACAAGAATATTTTCATTATTAGTTTGTAACGAAGATATATATGCATATAGGGGTTGCTTTGCAAGAAAATGGTGTGGTATATATTTCTGTCTTAATTCATGATAACAAGGACATATCGGCGTAAAATGAATTCCATTTTCTATTCCTACGTTACATAAAGGACAATATCGACGTTCTTTCTGGACAGAGGTTTTTCTACCCTCATTAATCATTAAAGATCCTTTACGATCCTTTACGAACATTGTTCTCAAACTATATGTTGTAAGTATTGATAAGTATTTTTCTGGCTGGAGTAACGTTTTATAGATCCTGTAATATTCATATCGTGAGCTTGAGTCTAAGGTGGATTTCCATTCTTGATTAAACATGTCTTTTGATCTAACATGAAATTCATTAATAAACCTGTTCACATCGTCAATTGTCTGGCACAACCATATGAAACCGAAACAGTGAGAAAATAATAAATTTCTGATAAGCGTTACCCAAGTATGTGTTCCCAAATTATCCAGATTTAAAAACATATTGTAAGCTAATTTGGCAGACGTTGTTCGTGCATATTTAGAATCTTAAACCAATATTTTAAACATCTTATTTGAGAATTAATATACAAAGGAAATCTGCCACATTTACCATATACCATGCAGTTAGGTGTCTTTGGGCTTGCGTTGAGGTACTTTTTACAAGCTAACACATGCACTCTCTCAATACAATCGAAACGCTGAAAAACCCATATTTCAGATCCATATAATAAAATGGTTGAATTTAATATTAAATAACACCTTGGGTGACATAGTTCTACCTTTGTATAAAACCGATAAAACTTGTATTAAAGCCTTTTGTCCACGTAAAGCTAAGTTCTGTGAACATTTATTCAAATTCATTGTGTTTGAAAACAAAACCCTTAAGTAAGAATACTGATCGGATACATTAATCAACTGACCATCATAAAACCAGCGTTCGTTTGTGGCAACAGGACCGCCCCTCCTAAATATCACTATTTCTGTTTTGCTTAAATTAACTGCTAACTTCCATTCTTTAGTATAGCTTTCTAAGATATTTAATTGATTTTGTAAACCGACCACAGCATCCGAAACTAAAATAACGTCGTCAGCAAAATGGAGCATTACGACTTCTGCAAGATCTGGGTTCATTTGGATTCCATGTTTTCCACCTAAATTGATATCGTGATTTCATTCACTAATGAAGAAGGAAAATAGGAGTGGACTTAAGCAGCAACCTTGTCTTAAACCAAGTGGGCAATCGAAAATATCTGTAACCCCGTCTTTGCAACGCACACAAGATCGAACGTTAGAATAAATTGATTGACGCATCATGCACTTCCATAATTAGACTCGTGCCATGTCATCCCGTGTTTTTCGGGTGATCAGTTGACTTGCATTTGCGTGTGTTTGTGACGGTGACACAGAGTGGACAGGACACGCAAACCTTTTCCCTAGCTGCTGTTACCATTACTAATTGATAGTAATTCATAAACACATACCTCTAGATAGATGCTGATCCATTCGTGGCGACACCAAGGACTTTGTGTCTTATGTAAAGAAATTTGTGATTACAATGACTATAGTTTACCATCAACAGTAGCACCATGGGGTCCCTTCTTGTTTCACTAGGAATTGCCTTCTTATTTCACTAGGAATTGCCATCTGTATTGGAGCTTGTCCAGTACCGTGTATCTGCCCTCTCGCATTGACAGGAGCTATACAAAGTCGTCTCATTGACTGTCTAACACCCGTTACCACAGCATTAGGCAACCTGCGCCATATCTGTACCAACATGGCGCCAAGCTGACCATTCTGTGGTTGACGTCTAACGGCATGAAGACATCTTTTAAGAGCACCCTATGGCTGATGGAATTGAGGTCAGGCGATCTCAAAGGTCGATCCATGACGTCAATACCGGAATTCTGCAGGAAATATAGCCATCCGCAGGTGCAGTTGTGCCCAGCGTAGACGTTTATAAATGTTTACCTGTGTCAGAGGTGATCCAACATAAGGACGTCGGGCACGAAGATGGGGAACGAGCAAGCGGTTTCCTATGATCTGGGACCCGTGAAGATGCGGGTTAAAATTGGTCTTCAGCAACCTATGCTTGTCGTATGAGGCGATTATCAGACTGATCGGGTGGTCAGGCTCGCTGACTTGGTTGACACATGTCATCGGTTCCCAACTGTGTAGATCGATGGTCATGATACCAATCACTGACCTGTCTGGTCCAGACTCCATTATTTACAGACTGCAGTCAAATGGCTGGAAATTTACTGAGGGCGGTGTCAGACAACAAACAAACACAGAAACAGTCCCATGGTCTGAGCAGTTACGCGACCCCTACTGATGGATGTTGCGGTCGCAACTGTTCTTAATTGTTATGTACATAGAAGAAGAAGAAGAAGAAGAAGAAGAAGAAGAAGAAGAAGAAGAAGAGCTGTCTGTTTGCTAGTCATTCATTCACCTTATGAATGGGTCACGATATACTCCGAAACGTCGTGTCCCTCAAAATAACGAAGTTGACATCCAGAAATTATCGCCTTATGTCCATTGTAGGTATTCGCCCATATTAACTACATTGTACAATACACAATATAACTCATTTCTCCAAGTGATGAGTTTCTTTTTTTGTTCAGTATATTTGTTGCACGCTTTTGGGCCGCCAAGTCCTGTACAGGGTGAGTGCATCACCCTAGAGCTTGTGTTAGCTGGAGCAGGGGGGGGGAGGGGAGTTCTCTGGGCGTCTCGTTGCAAGGATCTCAGGAAGGAGAAAATTGGAGGGACTGACGCGGATAATTCTACGCTGTGTGATTTTAATGAAAGGCGTAGAATTGGTTTTGAAATGAGCGCAGTTGGACTTTATTCTTTTATTGAGAGTCTCATAATGCTGGCTCTGCGCTCCAGTGACAGCGAGGCTTGGGAAGAGTTGGCCTGGGTTAGTTAGGCTTGGTGTACAGGGAATTCACGCAAGCCATGCACTTACGAGATTTAAGACAACAATGAGTTAGTTAAGGGCGAAACATCCTGATGACGGGTCGAGAGGGTTTCATAACCTTATGCTGGTATTAGAGGCTGCTGTAAATGATGTGTTATAGAGCCAGATCATACAAAGACTCATTTGTTTTGAGATTTGTTGTTTAACGCCATAGTGGGCAATATTCCAGTCATACCACATAGCAGCTAGTCCTGGACCAACCAGACCACGCCAACACGGACAGTACGTGTAGGTTCTACCACTAGGATACAAGGTTTAATCGTTGATTATTGTTGATTCATTGCACCTACTTAACGCAGTTTTGAAAGGTATTATCATACAACAGCTCTGTGCTCAACTGTGAGACCACAGTGTTAATCACAGTTGCGTGATGCACGTGAAACATCCATGTTTACCGAGCCCTATGGTCGTGCAATTGTTACTTTGCCGATTGGTGTTAAGGAATACCTGTCCCAGGGAAATGTATAACCTTCATTGGGGAACCAGCTCGAGCACAATCAATTAAATATTATTTGCCCTTGAACGAGCCCTGTCCTCATTAAGACACTAGTAATTCCCTTTTCCTCTGTTCTCTGGATGAATAGCTGCCACATCCCACATGTGTGCAGTGGATATAGTGACATGGAACGTAAACACACACATCGCAGTGTATCAACGGATGACCAAGTAATTATTTAATTGTTAATTTCATACAATTTCTTAAATGTCGCTTTGGCAAAAGTCTACATTCGTTAGGTGTTAGAATGTAGGACAACATGATATTTCATGAGAAAAAGTTCCGCCATTGCCAAGTGATCAACGGCATGATGTAAGACAGGAGTCATAGATTAAAGTTAGGCTGAATCTATGTTTGTTCAAATAATGAGTGGCACTGAGCAGTCACAATAATGATATTGGTAGAATTGGAATTTTGAACCAAACTAAAAAAACTAGGTCAGTTGTTCAGCCTGACTGTGAGATTTTCGGAATGTCCGGTATATATTCCTCGCATAAACCCGCGTCAACCCCTGACATCGTGTACATCTGTCACACATTATAGTGTGATACGGGATCGTATTCGGGCTATCATGGTTTCATGGTGACCATTATATGAGCGAGTCAGCCCCCATGAGACAAATACCTATCTCGACACAGTACCCACCACTTATCCCCATGTTAAACACGTCTGTATCTATTACTTCTGGCGGTAATTACGGCGCTCACGTAAACCTCACACACCTTTGTAATTACAGTTGACGATCGTGTAGGATGAGTCTTGGGTTGAGCCAACACCTGCTCCCGAGTTCTGACTGGTATCGATGTTCTATGATCTCTGGTTCATAAGACCCGCTTTAGATAAACCTCCGCCTGAGGTCGTCAACCACACCCCCATCTTCTCTACCTGGCACATACAGTACATTGTTACATTGTAGTTCAGTGAATATACCAACTACATACACGGTGTATGTGCAAATTGGAGTTATTTACTTCTTTTTACTTTATTTTATATTTCCATTCCTAGAATTACTAGAATCATAAGAGGCATTTAAGAGCGTCCCCCATGTGAGTTCCAGATGCTGACACACTGGCTTCCACAGGAGGTACAGATATTCAGGCATTTCAATGTACTAGCATCTGTATTCTACCGGACCAGATATCTGGTTTGACTTTAAATGTATAGCTGACTACGGCCGTTCGATACAGTATACCATGCAAGATGAAAACAAATAACAGAAAGCCATGACATGAGTTTGACATGAGTTAACTCTCTTCACAACTGAAGTGTGGGTTTATTCTATGAGTATGAAACTATGGTCATCAAGTCAACTCTGTGTGTTTTAAGACTGGAGTAACCCTGTGCGTCAGGCCGAATTCCGTGACGGAGCCAGACAGATACTACCATCCATACTGACTGACTGACTGAGTTTGGTTTTACGCCGCTTTTAGCAATATTCCATCAACATCACGGCGGGGGACACCGGAAATGGGCTTCACACATTGTACCCATGTGGGGATTCGAACCCAGGTCTTCGGCGTGACGAGCCAACGCTTTAACCATTAGGCTACCCCACCGCCCACCATCCATACACCACAGTGATCCAGATATCACTACATAATGTCTTATTTTATTGCCAGCATGTGACTAAGCTTTTTTGTATTTTTAAAGAAACTTTTGAAACTGTGCTCTTACGAAATTGTAGATAATACAAGCAATATCTTGTTGAAACAATGGATGACTTATACATACCTTTGCCGGGTTGAAGCCACTGAGGTATATTTCATCTGTCGCCTATCCATCAAATATGCATGTGTTATCTGACGGTGTTCCTGCGCCTTGTGATGAGACACGATCAGCGGAGCGGTGGAAGGCGGACCCTATAATCCGTCTTACCTCCATTGACTGAACCCTCATTGTGGTCCTAATACCCCCACACTGACGCCTGTCAACTGTCAGATAATACTGCAGCTGGGAGCTTTCATCCGGAACCACAGGTACCTGCTCAGCTCGCGCGCTGTAGAAGCACATACTGGAGAACGCTGTGTATATATCTTGATTATTTTTTTCTCAGTGTTAGCCTAATCTCAAAACATAACTACGTTTGAGCATAAATCAAACATATATGTATTAGATTGTATTGTAGAGGTAATTCCAACATCTGAAAACAATGATTGAAGTTACAATTTGTTGTTCATAATATATTTACCGCCAGGATGCCGCGGATTGTGTCATGTCTACGAGTCTTAAACAATATATAAATTTTATTTAGGTTGACGTACATGGGTACCCCGGATTAGGTAAGGACATATCTACCATCCATCTGACAATACGTATTTAGGTTGATGTACCCAATGTACACACGTACCCAACACGCCTCTGCTGGCAGTATTTGTCACAGTAAACCCTGGCAATAAATCTTGCAACTTCCGGTTAGTGCAGTATTTGTCACAGTAAACCCGACCAGTAAGTCTGGCATCTTCCGGTTAGAGCAGTATTTGTCACAGTAAAACCCTGGCAATAAGTCTTGCAACTTCCGGTTAGTGCAGTATTTGTCACAGTAAACCCGACAAGTAAGTCTGGCATCATCCGGTTAGTACAGTATTTGTCGTAGTAAAACCCTGGCATTAAGTCTGGCAACGTCCGGTTAGTACAGTGTCTGTCACAGTAAACCCTGCCAATACGTCTCGCAACTTCTGGTTAGTGCAGTATTTGTCACAGTAAACCCGACCAGTAAGTCTGGCATCTTCCGGTTAGAGCAGTATTTGTCACAGTAAAACCCTGGCAATAAGCCTGTCATCTTCGGGTTAGTGAAGTATTTGTCTCAGTAAAGCCTGCCAATAAGTCTGGCATCTTCCGGTTAGCACAGTATTTGTCACAGTATACACGGCCAATAAGTCTGGCATCTTCCGGTTAGCACAGTGTCTGTCACAGTAAACACGGCCAATAAGTCTGGCATTTTCCGGTTCAATCAAGTGTCTGTCACAGTAAACCCTGCCAATAAGTCTGTCATCTTCCGGTTAGTACAGTGTCTGTCACAGTAAGCCCTGCCAATAAGTCTGGCATTTTCCTGTTAGTACAGTATTTGTCACAGTAAACCCTGCCAATAAGTCTGGCATCTTCCGGTTAGTACAGTATTTGTCACAGTAAACCCTGCCAATAAGTCTGTCATCTTCCGGTTAGCACAGTATTTGTCACAGTAAACCCTGCCAATAAGTCTGTCATCTTCCGGTTCAATCAAGTGTCTGTCACAGTAAACCCTGCCAATAAGTCTGTCATTTTCCTGTTAGCACAGTATTTGTCACAGTAAACACTGCCAATAAGTCTGGCATCTTCCGGTTCAATCAAGTGTCTGTCACAGTAAGCCCTGCCAATAAGTCTGGCATGTTCCTGTTAGTACAGTATTTGTCACAGTAAACCCTGCCAATAAGTCTGTCATCTTCCGGTTCAATCAAGTGTCTGTCACAGTAAACCCTCCCAATAAGTCTGGCATTTTCCGGTTAGCACAGTATTTGTCACAGTAAACCCTGCCAATAAGTCTGGCATTTCCCTGTTAGTACAGTGTCTGTCACAGTAAACCCTGCCAATAAGTCTGGCATTTCCCTGTTAGTACAGTGTCTGTCACAGTAAGCCCTGCCAATAAGTCTGGCATCTTCCTGTTAGTACAGTGTCTGTCACAGTAAACCCTGCCAATAAGTCTGTCATCTTCCGTTTCAATCTAGTGTCTGTCACAGTAAGCCCTGCCAATAAGTCTGGCATTTCCCTGTTAGTACAGTGTCTGTCACAGTAAACCCTGCCAATACGTCTCGCAACTTCTGGTTAGTGCAGTATTTGTCACAGTAAACCCGACCAGTAAGTCTGGCATCTTCCGGTTAGAGCAGTATTTGTCACAGTAAAACCCTGGCAATAAGCCTGTCATCTTCCGGTTAGTGAAGTATTTGTCTCAGTAAAGCCTGCCAATAAGTCTGGCATCTTCCGGTTAGCACAGTATTTGTCACAGTATACACGGCCAATAAGTCTGGCATCTTCCGGTTAGCACAGTGTCTGTCACAGTAAACACGGCCAATAAGTCTGGCATTTTCCGGTTCAATCAAGTGTCTGTCACAGTAAACCCTGCCAATAAGTCTGTCATCTTCCGGTTAGTACAGTGTCTGTCACAGTAAACCCTGCCAATAAGTCTGGCATTTTCCGGTTCAATCAAGTGTCTGTCACAGTAAGCCCTGCCAATAAGTCTGGCATTTTCCTGTTAGTACAGTATTTGTCACAGTAAACCCTGCCAATAAGTCTGGCATCTTCCGGTTAGCACAGTATTTGTCACAGTAAACCCTGCCAATAAGTCTGTCATCTTCCGGTTCAATCAAGTGTCTGTCACAGTAAACCCTGCCAATAAGTCTGTCATTTTCCTGTTAGCACAGTATTTGTCACAGTAAACACTGCCAATAAGTCTGGCATCTTCCGGTTCAATCAAGTGTCTGTCACAGTAAGCCCTGCCAATAAGTCTTGCATGTTCCTGTTAGTACAGTATTTGTCACAGTAAACCCTGCCAATAAGTCTGTCATCTTCCGGTTCAATCAAGTGTCTGTCACAGTAAACCCTCCCAATGAGTCTGGCATTTTCCGGTTAGCACAGTATTTGTCACAGTAAACCCTGCCAATAAGTCTGGCATTTCCCTGTTAGTACAGTGTCTGTCACAGTAAACCCTGCCAATAAGTCTGGCATTTCCCTGTTAGTACAGTGTCTGTCACAGTAAGCCCTGCCAATAAGTCTGGCATCTTCCTGTTAGTACAGTGTCTGTCACAGTAAGCCCTGCCAATAAGTCTGGCATTTCCCTGTTAGTACAGTGTCTGTCACAGTAAGCCCTGCCAATAAGTCTGGCATCTTCCTGTTAGTACAGTGTCTGTCACAGTAAACCCTGCCAATAAGTCTGGCATCTTCCTGTTAGTACAGTGTCTGTCACAGTAAACCCTGCCAATAAGTCTGGTCATCTTCCTGTTCAGTCAGTGTCTGTCACAGTAAACCCTGCCAATAAGTCTGGCATTTTCCGGTTCAATCAAGTGTCTGTCACAGTCAACACGGCCAATAAGTCTGGCATTTTCCTGTTAGTACAGTGTCTGTCACAGTAAGCCCTGCCAATAAGTCTGGCATCTTCCTGTTAGTACAGTGTCTGTCACAGTAAACCCTGCCAATACGTCTGGCATTTTCCGGTTAGCACAGTATTTGTCACAGTAAACCCTGCCAATAAGTCTGTCATCTTCCGGTTCAATCAAGTGTCTGTCACAGTAAACCCTGCCAATAAGTCTGGCATTTTCCGGTTAGCACAGTATTTGTCACAGTAAACACGTCCAATAAGTCTGGAAATTTCCGGTTAGCACAGTATTTGTCACAGTAAACCCTGCCAATAAGTCTGTCATCTTCCGGTTCAATCAAGTGTCTGTCACAGTAAACCCTGCCAATACGTCTGGCATCTTCCGGTTCAATCAAGTGTCGGTCACAGTAAACACGGCCAATAAGTCTGGCATCTTCCTGTTAGCACAGTGTCTGTCACAGTAAGCCCTGCCAATAAGTCTGTCATCTTCCGGTTAGTACAGTGTCTGTCACAGTAAACCCTGCCAATAAGTCTGGCATTTTCCGGTTAGCACAGTATTTGTCACAGTAAACACGGCCAATGAGTCTGGCATCTTCCGGTTCAATCAAGTGTCTGTCACAGTAAACCCTGCCAATAAGTCTGGCATTTTCCGGTTAGCACAGTATTTGTCACAGTAAACACGACCAATAAGTCTGGCATCTTCCGGTTCAATCTAGTGTCTGTCACAGTAAACCCTGCCAGTAAGTCTGGCATCTTCCGGTTCAATCTAGTGTCTGTCACAGTAAACCCTACCAGTAAGTCTGGCATCTTCCGGTTCAATCAAGTGTCTGTCACAGTCAACACGGCCAATAAGTCTGGCATCTTCCTGTTAGTACAGTGTATGTCACAATAAACCCTGCCAATACGTCTGGCATTTTCCGGTTAGCGGAGTATTTGTCACAGTATACACGGCCAATAAGTCTGTCATCTTCCGGTTAGCACAGTGTCTGTCACAGTAAACACGGCCAATAAGTCTGGCATTTTCCGGTTCAATCAAGTGTCTGTCACAGTAAACCCTGCCAATAAGTCTGGCATCTTCCGGTTCAATCAAGTGTCTGTCACAGTAAACCCTGCCAATAAGTCTGGCATTTCCCTGTTAGTACAGTGTCTGTCACAGTAAGCCCTGCCAATAAGTCTGGCATATTCCTGTTAGTACAGTGTCTGTCACAGTAAACCCTGCCAATAAGTCTGGCATTTCCCTGTTAGTACAGTGTCTGTCACAGTAAGCCCTGCCAATAAGTCTGGCATCTTCCTGTTAGTACAGTGTCTGTCACAGTAAACCCTGCCAATAAGTCTGTCATCTTCCGTTTCAATCTAGTGTCTGTCACAGTAAACCCTGCCAATAAGTCTGGCATTTTCCGGTTCAATCAAGTGTCTGTCACAGTCAACACGGCCAATAAGTCTGGCATTTTCCGGTTAGCACAGTATTTGTCACAGTAAACACGGCCAATAAGTCTGGCATCTTCCTGTTAGTACAGTGTCTGTCACAGTAAACCCTGCCAATACGTCTGGCATTTTCCGGTTAGCACAGTATTTGTCACAGTAAACCCTGCCAATACGTCTGTCATCTTCCGGTTCAATCAAGTGTCTGTCACAGAAAACCCTGCCAATAAGTCTGGCATTTTCCGGTTAGCACAGTATTTGTCACAGTAAACACGGCCAATAAGTCTGGAATTTTCCGGTTAGCACAGTATTTGTCACAGTAAACCCTGCCAATAAGTCTGGCATCTTCCGGTTCAATCAAGTGTCTGTCACAGTAAACCCTGCCAATACGTCTGGCATCTTCC